AACACCCCACTTGCATCAGTGGATACATCAACCAAATAGAAAATCAACGAGGAAAAAGTGGCTTTGAAGGACACATTGGACCAGATGCGTCTAACAAATGTATTCAAAACATTCCATCCTAAACAGCAGAGTGCACATTCTTTTCAAGTGCACATGAAACATTCCCTGGAATAGGTCACATATTAGGCCACTTCAGCAAATTCAAAAAGACTGACATCATACCATGCATCTTTTCTTTTCTTTTTTTTAAATTTTTTAATGTTTATTTATTTTCACCAGAGAGAGAGAGAGACAGAGCATGAGCAGGGGAGGGACAAAGAGGGAGGGAGACACAGAATCCGAAGCAGGCTCCAGGCTCTGAGCTGTCAGCACAGAGCCCGACACGGGGCTCGAACTCACAGTCTGAGAGCTCATGACCTGAGCTGAAGTCGGACGCTCAACCAACTGAGCCACCCAGGCGCCCCATCCATGCATCTTTTCTGATCACAACACTGTGAAACTAGAAATCAACCACAAGAAAAAATCAGGAAAGCACACAAGTACATGGAGATTAAATAACATGCTACTAAACAGTGAATGGGTCAACCAAGAAATCAGAGCGGAAATGAAAAAATACATGGAAGTAAATGAAAATGAAAGCACCATGGTCCAAAATCCTTAGGATGCAGCAAAAGCTATTCTAAGAGGGAAGTTTAGAGCAATAGAGCCTACCTCAAGAAGCAAGAAAAATCTCAAACAACCTAATCTTACACCTAAAGAAGCTAGAAAAAGAACAAACAAAACCCAAAACCAGTAGAAGGAAGGAAATAATAAAGAATAGAGCAGACATACATGAAATAGAAACAAAAAGCAATAGTACAGATCAATGAAACCAGGAGCTGGTTCTTTGAAAAGATCAACAAAATTAATAAACCTTTAGCCAGATTCATGTGAGAGAGAGAGAGAGAGAGAGAGAGAGAGAGAGAGAGAGAGAGAGAGAGAAAGGATTCAAAATCAGAAATGAAAGAGAAGAACTAACTACTGACACCACAGAAATACAAAGGATTATAAGAGACTATTGTGAAAAATTATATGCCAACAAACTGGACAACATAGGAGAAATGTATAAATTCCTAAAAGCATATAAACTACCAAAACTGAATCAAGAAGAAATAGAAAGTTTGAACAGATTGATTACCAGCAATGACATCGAATCAGTAATCAAAACCTTCCAACAAACAAAAGTCCAGGACCAGACAGCTTCACAGGTGAATTCTACCAAACATTTAAAGAAGAGTGAATACCTATTCTTCTCAAACTATTCCAAAAAGTAGAAGAGAAAAGAAGGCTTCCAAGTTCATTCTATGAGGACAGCATTATCCTGATGCCAAAACCAGATAAAATCACTACAAAAAAAGAGTTACAGACCAATATCTCTGCTGAACATAGATGCAAAAACGCTCAACAAAATACTAGTAAATCACATCCAACAATACATTAAAAAAAATCATTCACCACAATCAAGTGGGATTCATTCCCAGGATGCAAGAGTGGTTTAATATTTGCAAATCAATCAACATGATACATCACATCAACAAGAGAGAGGATAAAAATCATATGATCATTTCAATAGATGTAGATAAAACATTTGACAGAGTATAATATCCATTCATGATAAAAATCCTCTCTCAGTGAGGTCTCAGGATACAAAATCAATATATAGAAATCCATTACATTTCCATACTCTAATAATAAAGTAGCAGAAAGAAATTAAGAAAACAGCCCTATTTACAGTGGCACCAGAATAGTAGAATACCTAGAAATAACCAAGGTGAAAGACCTGTACTCTGAAAACTCATTCATGAAGGAAATTGAAGATGACACAAAGAAATGGAAAGATATTCTGTGCTAATGGATTGGAAGAACAAATATTGTTTAAATGTTCATACTATCCAAAGCAATCTACAGATTTAATGTGATCCCTATCAAAATACCACGAGCATTTTTCACCGATTTAGAACAGACAGTCCTGAAATTTGTATGGAACCACAAAAAAACCCGAATAGCCAAAGCAGTCTTGAAAAAGAAGAACAAAACTAGAGGTATCACAATCCCAGATTTCAAGATATACTACCAAGCTGTAGTAATCAAAGCAGTATGGTACTGGCACAAAAAATAGGTACATAGATCAGTGGAACAGAATAGAGAGTCCAGAAATAAGCCCACGATTATATAGTCCATTAATCTTCAACAAAGAAGGCAAGAATATGCAATGGAAAAAAGACAGTCTTTTCAACAAATGTTGTTGGGAAAACTAGACAGCTACATGCAAAAGAATGAAACTGGACCACTTTCTTACACCACACACAAAAATAAACTCAAAATGGATTAAGTACCTAAATGTGAGACCTGAAACCAAAAAAATCCTAGAACAGAACAAAGGTAGTAACTTCATTAACATCAGCCAAAGCAACGTCTTTCTAGATATGTCTTCTGAGGCAAGGGAAACAAAAGCAAAAATAAATTATTGAGAATACTTAAAAAATAAAAAGCTTCTGCACAACAAAGGAAACAATCAATAAAACTAAAAGGCAATCTACCAAATGGAGTAGGTATTTGCAAATGGGTCAGTATCCCAAATGTATAAAGAACTTCTACAACTCAACACCTAAAATAATCTAATTTAAAAATGGGCAGAAGACATGAACAGACATTTCTCCAAAGAAGACATACTGATGATGGTCAACAGACACATGAAAAGATGCTCAACATCACTCATCATCAAGGAAATGCAAGCCAAAAACACAATGAGATACCACCTCACAGCTGTCAGAATGGTTAAAATAAAAAACACGAGAAACCGGGGCACCTGGGTGGCTCAGTCGGTTGGGCATCTGATTCTTGATTTTGGTTCAGGTCATGATCTCGGTTCATGAGATTCAGCCCCACATCAGGCTCTGTGCCGATAGCACAGAGCTGCTCGGGATTCTCTCTCTCCTTCTCTTTCTGCCCCTCCCCTGTTCATGTTCTCTACTTTCTCTCAAAATAAATAAATAAACATTGAAAAAAAAACACAAGAAACAAGTGTGGAGAGTATATGGAGGAAAAGGCACCTTTGTGCACTGTTGGGGGGCATGCAAACTGGTGTAGCCACTGTGGAAAACAGTATGGAGGTTCCTCCGAAAATTAAAAATATAAGTATGCTACCATCCAGTAATTGCACTACTAGGTATTTACACAAAGATTACAAAAACATGTTGGGGCCCCTGGGTGGCTCAGTTGGTTGAGCGTCCGACCTCGGCTCGAGTCATGATCTCATGGCTTGTGAATTCAAGCCCCACATAAGGCTTGCTGCTGTCAGTGCAGAGCCTGCTTTGGATCCTTTGTCCTCCTCTCTCTGCCCCTTCCCCACTTATGCTCTCTTTCTCTCAAAAATAAACATTTAAAAGAAAAAGAATACAAAAAAGATTAATCTGAAGAGACACGTGCACCCCTATGTTTATTGCAGCATTATTTACAATAACAAAACTATGGAAGCAGCCCAAGTATCCATCCATAGATGAACGGGTAAAGAAGATGTTATGTGTATATCTAATATATATATAAATACATACATAGATACGTACAATGGGATATTATTCAGCCATAAGAAGAATGAAATCTTGCCATTTGCAACAATACGAATGGCTCTAGAGGATAAAATGAAATAAGTCAGAGAAGGACATACCATATGATTTCACTCATATGTGGAATTTCAGAAACAAAGGAAAAAAGAGACCAAGCCAAAAACAGACTCTTAACTATGGAGAACAAACTTATGGTTGCCAGGGGGGAGGTGGGTGGGATGGGTAAAATAGGTGATGGGGATTAAGAGTACAATTATCATGATGAGCACTGAGTAATGTATAGAACTGTTGAATCACTGTATTGCACACCTGAAACTAATATAACACTGTATGTTAACGCTACTGGAATTAAATTTTTTTTTTATTAAAAAAAATTTTTTTTAACATTTATTTATTTTTGAGACACAGACAGAGCATGAACGGGGGAGGGGCAGAGAGAGAGGGAGACACAGAATCGGAAGCAGGCTCCAGGCTCTGGGCCATCAGCCTAGAGCCTGACACGGGACTCGAACTCACGGACTGCAAGTTGTGACCTGAGCTGAAGTCGGACGCTCAACCGACTGAGCCACCCAGGCGCCCCTGGAATTAAAATTTTTTAAAAATTAGTTTGAGAAATTAGCTTTTTCCAGTTTTTCCAATTAGCTTTTTGTCGTACTATTGGCATTATTTATTAGTATCTATTTGCAGAAACTGTGAGTTCTTCCTTGAATTTTTATTATTGTTATATTTTCCTCTGTTAGCCAAGTGATTTCCCTCACCTCTCCTTTTATAGTGACTTTTTCTTTTGCCACATCATCCTCCCTAGAGAATACAGATAGAAGTGGAGACTATATGTTTAAAAAAAAGCATCCAATTTCACAGAAAGAACATTTACATTAGCATTTCCATTTTAGTGATTTTCTTTTCCCATAGCCAATTGAACTAGCCTGCAAAGTGATTAGCAAAATACAGGTAATAATGAATAGCTGGTTCTTTTCAGAAACATTGTGAGCCCTATATTTTTAAAGCTTTGCAAGTTTTATTTCTAATGTTTCCTTTGTAGACTTAATTCAGTGTAAAGCATGTAAAATCTTTGTAATGCCTGAAAGTCTGGATTATTGAATATTTATATAATTTTAAGAATCTTAGTTTGCTAGTATGTAGGGAATGTCCTTTGCAGATAGGAAATCACATAGAATTCAATACTGTGTGGATTAATGGATTCCATCAACAATGCATCAGATGGATTTAAATTATGTAAGTTTAGTAGATTCAGTTGATTGAATGCAATTGAAAACATTAGCTAAGCCCAAAGTTTACAGATTACTTGGGGGAATGATCAGTGAAGCTTTAATGTTAACATTTTAAGGCGGTTAAATTCAATGTTCAGCTTTTCTGTGTGTTTTATCTTTGTAGCACCTTAAATTCAAGGAAACAAATCTTGTAATGCTGCAGCAATTTAATGCACTAGCTCAACTCCGCCGCGTCGACCAGTTGACAATTGATCCTCAAGGAAATCCAGTTGTCAATTTTACACTCTGGAAATACTATGTACTGTTTAGGCTGAGCCATTTTAGTATGCAGAAAATAAACGGGACAGAGGTAAGCTAAACATAAGTCAACTGTAGAATTAATATTCCCTTTTAAGGAAAATAGTCATAAAAATGGGCAGGAATGTCAGTAACCATGATAGAACTTTTGAAAAATATTGTGGGTTTTTTTCCCCAAATCTTGACATTTACAATGTCAGAGAGCTAAAAATCTATCAAAAAACTTCGAAAACACTAGACAGACTTTAAAAATAGCAACCAAATCATGGTGAATAGCAAATACTTTTACTGTTGTTTGAAAGTACTTGAGAAGTAAAATGTTGGTGGAATAACTTAAAAAAATGTTAAAAGAACACTTATGTCAAAGTGTTTTACAGGCTGCCTGGCATGTAAGAAGGATGGAGAAGTGGGAAAGTAATTCCCAAATGTCAGCTGGTAAGGGTCATAGTAGAGGAAGGGAGGAGTAAAGGGATGAAAAGAAGAGAATATACACAGGGAAAGAAGAATGATTTTAAAAAGAAACAATGAGAAGGAGAAATAGGCAAGGAGGAAAGGTAAAAGGAGAGAAAGTAAACATGAGAGAAAAAGGAAATAAACCAAGCGTATGTAAATGTCTGGACTGCTTTTTAATAGTCTGTAACAGCTGCCTGTGGATAACTTGCACTGGATAACTCAGGCCTGGAATATTTTTAGTGAAAAGCTATTTTTCAGATTGATTCTGCTAAGCTTGCCACAAGATTAATCTTCCTTTTACCCAAAGACCGTGTTCTCTAACAATTATTTTGGAAGACAAGAGAGAAACTGGGGTTCTTCCTCTACTGAGGAATTCCTGAACTGAATATAAATAATCCTCCAAAGGAAGAAAATCTCTCTGTGCTGTTAGTATTATTATGATTATCTCTTAAAATTCCGAAGACCTCCTTACTGTAAAATGAGCGGTAATCAGGTTTGCCAGCAACTGTATTTCTCTGTGGCTTATGCACTACAAGTGCCTCTGACCTAGTACTCCAGAAACCCAACATAGGGTTAAGAGACTGGAGATCTCTGGGTCAGTGCGCAAGAGTCAATTGAGATTTTTGCATCAACCACAGGAGGCTCGTGACCACGGTATCAGCTATCTGTTGAAGATGTAGGACAAATCTGGAATCTTCAGAGGACTATTAATTTCTCCAGCTAGTTCTCACGAGATCTGGTTCAGTCTTGTGTACTCTTGTGTACTCCCTTGGTACTTGCCCAGAGAGGTCATGAGTCATTGATCAGACCTCATAACTAGTCCCAAAGTTTTCCAAATCTGGAAAACTTTATTTTATTTTAGTTATTTTAGCTATGGATGAGTAATTCTTCATTAATGGCCAAACTGTTGTCCCCATTAACCTAAATAGTGTATTTATCCAGACATAGACCACTACTAGAAGTGTATACTAAATATTATTGAACCTTGAACTAGGAAGGAATAGTACAATATCATTACATTAAAGAGAGAAGAGTTAGAAAGAGCCAGTATAACTTATTCTGATTTAAATTTCCTTAAATGTCAGCTCCAGGGATACTGGACCATTTCTTAAAAGTCTAAAATAAAGCTACTTGTCTCAACCTTGAAAATATGTAATAATATTATATACCTAAGAATTAGAAAGAACCAGTATAACTTATTCTGATTTAAAGTTCCTTAAATGTCAATGCCGGGGATATTGGACCCTTTCTTAAAAGTCTAAAATAAAGCTACTTATCTCAACCTTGAAAATATGTAATAATATTATATATCTACTTTTCTTTATATATGAGAGAATAATATTACTTGAAGTAGAATTAAATTGAATTGTGAGTGAGCATCAAGAAGAAAAGATGGCGTAGTGGCCTACACTGGCCACTAGGTGACTATGTTAGACCAAACAACTGAGTCGTCCGCTAAAGGAAAGATTTGAGGGAACAGCAGCCTCATGAACTCCAAAGGTCTAGGGAAAGTGTCTGCATGGAGTCCTGGGTATAAGATGCTGGTGAACTATGGGTTTGTTTTTTTGGAAAACGCCTGTGAAGTGTATTACAGCTAGTATTAGTGAATGTTTTTATGTTCCAAAATTTCACTATACCAGGATTTCTCAACCTCAGCTCCGTTGACATTTGGGACCAGGTAGTCCTTTGTTGTGGGGGCTGTCCTGTGCATTGTAGGACACTTAAAAGCATCCCTGGCTTCAACACACTAGATTCTGGTAGCATCCCTCTGACAGTTGTGATAACCAAAAATGTCTCCAGACATTGTCCAGTGTTCCCTAGGGGCCAAAATGGCCCCTGGCTGGGAATCACCAAATTTATATACACAAACTAATCGTATTTAAACTGCAAACAACCCTATTTTACAGTAAAGAAAATATGCCCAGATATTAATCCAAGTCCTAATTTTAGCTTTTAGTACTTCCTTGGTTAAGATAGGAATAAGCCCTCACAGAGAAAACCTGTGACAAATTATTCCTTGTGGAGAGAAAGGTAGACATAATTTTACAATGAGCAGGAGTGTCTTTAATTGTCTAATGTTCCATCTCTCAGGAAGGGACAAAATTATTGTTATAGAAGCAAGGTATGAACAACACCTTCGCTTACCTTTGGCATGTTATTTTTTTTTTTTAATTTTTTTTAACATTTATTTATTTTTGAGACAGAGAGAGACAGAGCATGAACAGGGGAGGGGCAGAGAGAGAGGGAGGCACAGAATCTGAAACAGGCTCCAGGCTCTGAGCTGTCAGCACAGAGCCTGACGCGGGGCTCGAACTCACGGACCGTGAGATCATGACCTGAGCCGAAGTCGGACGCTTAACCGACCAAGCCACCCAGGCGCCCCACCTTTGGCATGTTATTAAAGTGAATCTATTCTGTTGACACTTGAGAAATTTCCCCTTAAATCACTCTACTCCAAGAAGCTAAAGGATTCCTGAAAAAAAATTTCATAAAGAATTTAAGGTGCCTCAAGTCTAATTCTCACGGAACATTGCTTTAAGTCAGAGCTAACTCATCACCTCCATCATCCTCCATCACCATGAGCCGCACCTGTCATCTTCATTCCAGTTAAGCTCAGGGAAGAAAGATATGTCAATGAGAGCTCTCCTCTTACGGCCCCAGAGAAGGTACTTTCCTGGACTAAAAGAAAACACTCAAGCTAGACATCTTTTTGGAAATGTGTTAATTGTATCAAGCTAGATACAGTGTCATTTTGACCCATGTCCATTGTATCTCTTCAGGTGACGCAGAATGATATGATCATGGCTGAAAGGCTCTTTGGAATCCTAGCCCATGTAGCATCTTCCGAGTTACCCCAGTACCGTCTGATTTCAATTCTGGGTGATGCCAGGTGATCTTTAATTTCTATCATTTTAATAGAATTGCTGTTGCTGTAGAAAAAAGGAATAACTCTTAACTGCCACATGTGCATCCCACAAAGATTTATCCTAAATTTGTCTTGTGGCTAGCCCTCTTCAAAGTCTTGGGGTATAAAGATGAAGAAGACAAGATTCTTGCTCTTGTGTGGCTTATAAGCTAATAGTTTAAAGATATGTGTAAGCACTTATAATGTAAATGTTTCAGATGTTATAAGAGAGGAGTGAAAGAGTATAGGAAAGACCAACTTTAGTTTAGAAGAACATAACGGAAGGCTTCACAGAGGAGGTAAGGTTTTATCTAGCTCTTCAGGAATGCGTAGTTTTTCAGGTACAGGATACAGGGGAAAGAGATCTGCAAAGGCACGAAGAATTGTAAAGAGTTCAGCATAATTGGAGCATGGGATAATTGTGAATAGTGACAGGAAATGAAGCTAGAAAGACTGTGGTCTGATTTTGAATCCATTCAAAACAAAAGTGAATATTTGTGCTTTGTAATTCAGCACAAGAATCATGTGATTAGATGTTTGTTCTAGAAAGGCTGCCATTTGAGTGGACAGAAATGCAAGGACTGGAGACCGATGAAGAGGCTAGTTATAGTTTAGGAGGGAGATTTTGAAGGCATGAACTAAGACAATGAGAATGGAGAAGGGGATAGTTTGAAAAATACTTAGAAGAGGTATACCTGGCAGACCACACTGACAAAATGTGCATGAATGGAAGGAGAGAAGTGGGGGACGGTATGTCCATCATGATTCAGTTATAGATAAGGGAATTCACTCTGGTTAGAATAAGCAGAAAACAATTGATGTACAAGGAATTTGCTGTCTACAAAATCATTGGAAGAGGTGGGAGTCTCATGACTCCCAGAACGATACCACAGAACCAACCCACCAAGGAAACTGCCACCTCTGCTCAGGGAGTTGGCTAAGCAGGACACTGGCACCCCGGTTGCAGCCTCCAGAATCATACCACTTCAACTACATTGAGGATCAGGAAGTTCCCCACTCCTGTCCCCAGAACTTGGTTGCAGAGCCATGTTGCCCTTCTGTAATTTGTGCCAAAAAAAAAAAAAAAAAAAAAAAAAATGGGTATCTTGTGTGTTACCTCTACTTCCCCACAGAGCTCAGTTCTCATTTCAGATCTTATCCAAGTGTGTCTGATTGGTAGAATCTAAATCCCGTAAAACACCTATAGAATCACTTGGGAAAAAAGTACTGAAGGAGGGACTGCCATAAAATGAACAGTGAATGCAAGAAATAGGAAGTATTGGGGGTGCCTGGGTGGCTCAGTCGGTTGTATGTCCGACTCTTGCTTTCGGCTCAGGTCATTATCTCACAGTCATGGGGTCAAGCCCCATGTCGGGCGTGGAGACTGCTCGGGATTCTCTCTCTCTCTCTTCCTTTACCCTTGTCCCCCACGCACATTCTCTCTTTCTCTCTCAAAAAATAAATTTATTTTTTTTATTTAAAAAAATTTTTTTTATGTTTATTTATTTCTGAGACAGAGAGAGGCAGAGCATGAGTGGAGGAGGGGTAGAGAGAGAGGGAGACACAGAATCAGAAGCAGGCTCCAGGCTCTGAGCTGTCAGCACAGAGCCCAACGTGGGGCTTGAACTCACAAACCGTGAGATCATGACCTGAGCTGAAGTCGCTCTCTCAACCAACTGAGCCACCCAGGCGCCCCTCAAAAAATAAATTAAAAAAAAAAATAGGAATCATTGAATTCAAGAAATGATGGCGTGGGAAGAAATAAGTAAAAATTAGAGCTGTCTAAAAATATTAATGTATAAGGAAAAAATTAATAACTGGAAGATAAAAATCCCAGAAATTCATAAAAGAAAGGAACTTAAACTTTGCTAAGGTTTTTTTCCCTTTGGGAGTAATAATAGGTACTAATTAACATCAGAAATTGATGGAAAAGTACATGTTTAACTGTGTGTATTAAAATTTTAAGGACTACTATTAGGAAGAAAGGCTAGATGTATAGTTTATTAACCACTAAAAAGAAAAAGGATTGGTCAACAAAAATGTGGAAGGGAAATAAAAATAAACATATCAGTTATAATAAATATTAATGAATGAAATTCTCCTATGAATAGATATTGGCTATCAAATTGAGTTAAAATTGAGTTCCATGTTGTATTTGAGAAATACCCCTAAAGAAAGCAATATATAAGGTTTGAAAATACAGGAATGAAAATATATAACAGGCAAATGCCAACAACAGTAACAAACAAATCTGGGAATATTAATATTAGTGATAATAAAATTGATGACACCAAAAGCTATAATCTACCAAAAAAGATGATAATTATGAAGCTTAATGTAACTAAGCTCCTAAATATCTCAACAAATACTAGTATACATTAACAAATTCACAGTTATTGTGGTAGATATTAATCTATTTGATCAGTAGACAAATAAGCCAAAATAAAAAAGAATATGGGGGATTTGAATAACACAGTTAATACACTTTGTCAACTAAATATATTTATAATTATATTCCCAGAATATTATTCCCAATTCTGAAAAAAATTTATTTAAACACCTATGAAATGTTTACAAAAATTGGATACGTATTGAACTCAAAGAAGATCTCCGTGTTTCCCAAAAAGCATACTCAAACAGATTACTTTCTGTAATCAGCATAAAATTAGAAAATAGTGAGCCAAAAATTTACTCAGGTGAAATTAAAAAAACAAAGAAACAGGAAAAGCAGTTACCCAGAAAACAAAATACAAGTTCCTTTAAACTTAAAAAAGATGTTTGACCTCAGAGTTACAGACATGAAAATTTTAAAACAGTGAGATACCTTTGTGGGGAAAGACTAAAAGTTTGATCACATACAGCATATGGAAACAGAATTCTTATACACTGTCCATGGTATAAGTTGAGGCAACTCTTTTGCATAGCAATTTAACAATACCTAACAAATTTTAAATTTACAAGCCCTGTAACTTAGTAATTTCACTTAAAGGAATCTTCTTCAGATGGTGGTTTTTACATGAGCACAAATATATATGTGTAAGGATGTGTAAGGATATATATGTGTAAGGATGTGCAGTGTAGCAAAAATAGGAAAACTCACTAAATTTCCACTAATAAAGGACTAATGACTTGCAACTCTAAAAATAATTAGAGGTTCTGATATGAAACAGTCTGTAAGATGTCTCAGAAAATAAAAATGCAAGTTATAGAACACTTACATAGTGTACTGCAATTTATGAGAAATGGGGCGTATGTTTCAAAGGTATCCGTATGTTATTTTTAAATGTTTGATTTTTTTAAAAATGACTGTCTCTGGGAGTTGAACTGAGGACACTAAGAGTTCCAAAGGGTGTAGAAGTTTACTTTTCACCGTATGTCTATAGCTGCTGCTCGAATTACCTTTTTGGGTTTTGTTCTTTTTATTCTTTTTATTTTTATTATTATTATTATTATTATTATTATTATTGTATTCCTTCTTTAAAAAATAATTTTGAAAAGCACTTTCTTTGGGATAGAAGAATAAATTAAAACCAAAGTCATAAATTACATATAAATGAACTTGATAACAAGAGAACTCTGTCACAGCCTGTGGGATGTTGCTAAAACTGTACTGAGAGGAAATGATATATCTTTAATATACTTGTTAGGAAACAAGAAAGATTAGAAATTAATGAATGAGGCTTTCAACTCAAGAAAGCTAGAAAAACACCAAAGTAAAAAAAAAAAAAAATGGAGGCAAGAAATTAATAAAGACAAAGCAACTTAAAAAAAAATAAGAAATTGAAAAAAGAATAATTGACTAGTAAAAGCAAAAATTGACTCTTTATAAAGACCATTTTCTAAGGAAAATCCAAGAACTCAACCATTAAATTTTTTATAACTGATCAGATTATATACTAAGGAAACCAGATACTGTATCAACATACAAAAATAATTGGTATTTTTTCATTAAAATAATAAATTATTGAAAATAGTATTAGAAAAAGTATCCCATTTATAGAGGCAATAAAAACTGTAAAACATCAGGAAATCTACCTGACACAAAATAACTATGAAATAAACAGTGAAATTAGGAATAAAAAAAGTGTCTAAAAAATGGAGAGGTTTACATTGTTAATGAATTCTGAGGCTTAATAAAGATGTCAATTTATTTTAATGAAATCATATAGTTACTAACTTTCCAATCAACAATCCCGGTGTGATTTTCTCAGTAAACAAGGTGATTTTTGTATCTGTTTTTTTAATATTTATTTATTTATTTTGAGAGAGAGAGAGAGAGCCCATAAGCAGGGGAGCGGCAGAGAGAGAGAGAGAGAGGGAGAGAGAGAATCCCAAGCAGGCTCCACACTGTCAGTGCCAAGCCCGACACGGGACTTGAACTCACCAACCATGAGATCATGCATGACCTCAGTGATAAAACACAAATGTACTAATTGTTCTGGTTAAAAGCCAAAGATCGTCAGATTGAGTAAAAAATGAAGCTCAGTTATATGTTGTTAACAAGAGACACATCTGAAACATAAGGTTACATAAAGTTTGAAAGTAAAAAAGTGAGGAGTGCCTCCGTAGCTCAGTGGGTTAACCATCCTGCTCTTGATTTCTGCTCAGGTCATGATCTCAAAGTTCGTGAGTTTGAGCCCCACCACATAAGGCTCTTCACTGACAGTGTGGAGTCTGCGTGGGATTCTCTGTTACCCTCTCTCTCTGACCCTGCCCTGCTGGTGCATGTGCGTGCATGCATGCTCCCTCTCTCTCAAAATAAATAAAATACACTTAAAAATAAATTAATTAATTAAGGAAACATTAAAAAAATAAAATAAAAAAGAGAGAAAAGAAAAAAACATCAATGGTAACCAAAATAAAAACAGAACAGCCATTGAGGACTAAACTGACTCAGGTGAAAAGCAATACTAAAAATAAAGAGAATCATTTCAAAATGATAATGAGTTCAATTCGTTGCAAATGTTAAGATAAATTTACTAATTTAATATTTATGCACCTATTAGCATAGCCTTAAAAAACATACAAACCAAAAATTGACACGACTGCAGCTCCACAATTACAGGGGGAAGTTTCAATATACTTTTGAGTAATTTTAAAAGGATATCAAATACTTGAGCACCGTGAATAACAAATTTGACCTAATGGACATTCAGAGAACATTGCCCCAACAACTGTAGAACACATGTTCTTTTCAAGTATACATGGAATATTTGTAAAATTGACCAAATACTATCCGTAAGGAAATTATCAACAGATTCCAAAGGATTTACGTAGACAATGTGTTGTGTTCACAATACAATTAAGCTTTAACTCAGTTACTCAGTGTTAACCAGGAAATTCCCATATATCTGGAAATTAAGAAGTCCATTGCTAGGGGTCTGGGGGGCTCAGTCAGTTAGGCGTCTGACTTTGACTCAGGTCATGATCTCACCGTTCATGAGTTCAAGCCCTGCATCGGGCTCTCTGCTGTCAGTGCAGAGCCTGCTTTGGATCCTCTGTCTCCCTCTCTCTGCCCTTCCCCCACTCACTCTTTCTCAAAAATCAATAAACAAACAAAAAAACCTCACATTTCTAAATAACCCACAGGTTAAAGACAGTTTTATAATGGAAACTACCTTGAACTGAAATATAACAAAAATACCACATTTCAAAACTTGTAGAATTGTTACAGTGATGCTAAATGAACATTTTAACCTTTGAAATGGCTATAAAAGAAAAGAATAAAGGCTGAAAATGAATGAGCTAAACATTTATCTAAACAAGTTAGGGGAATAAAAACAGTAAAATAATCCTAAAAGTTAAAAGAAATAATGATATTAATAACAGAATTCATGGAAAATTGATTATTTGAAAAGACTAAGTGATATAAAGTATATATTTGCATTGCTTTTGTAATTAAAAAATCAATAAATAAAATGTAGGTAAAGATATACATGTTACTCACTTTCTTCTTTATAAAAGTGAGAATATTATACTACCCAAATATCAAAAAAAAGGGCCCAATTAGGTAAATTGATGAACATCACAACTGAATTTTATTCATTCATTAAATAGAAAATGCATATTATATAGCATTGAGTGAAAACAAGCGCACAAAATTGGATGTTTAATAGGATCTTCACTTTTTATAAAATTTCATAGAAAAAGCATGCAAAAAATATATATTGAATGTGAACAGTGTTATACATATATATAGATGTACGAGCTATAGATTTATGGGTACTTTTTATCTATTTCTTTATACTTTTCAAAATGTGTACTCCTTAAAATTTCTAAAATTGCTGTGTTACACTTAAAAAAATTTTTTTTAATGTTTATTTTTGAGAGAGACACAGTGTGAGCAGGGGAGTGGAGAGAGAGAGAGAGACGCAGAATCCGAAGCAGGCTCCAGGCTCTGAGCTGTCAGCACAGAGCCTGACACAGGGCTTAAACCCACAGTGCTGTGAGATCATGACCTGAGCCAAAGTCGGACACTTAACCGGCTGAACCACCCAGGCGCCCCAACTGTCTTACACTTTTAAATTGGAAAAAGGAAGAAAAAATTTAAAAGATCTATTCCTCTTCTCCTCCCAATCTTTAGTTCAGTTTGCAATAAAGTAGATATATCACTTCACTTTAGAGACACCTTAAGTCTGGCAGAAACCAGAAATCGACTTTCACCAGAGATGAGTTGCTGTTCTCTATCCAGGCTTATGGGTCTGCCAGTGATGCTATGAGCACTGTGTATGTTCTTCATAATCAAATGAAGTTTCCAGGTTCATTATTTCATATATTTCCCTATGCTAACAGTTGGAAGGTTGGGGATTTTGTTTATTTTGTTTTGCCTAAACTTAAACCAATATCCCATGCCATTTTCTAGCTATGAGTAATACTGCCAAGCTGCATAATGGAATTAGGAACTATTTGTGTGATTTGTAAGAGATTACTGTATGTTTTATGGAAGATAACGACTTAGAAACTTTAGCCTACTACATCTTCAGTTGCGTTGTTTTGTACTCTGTGATTATTTAAATGTTGTACTGATTTCTTTAAGGTAGAGTTTCTTTAAGGTAGAAATGGTTGAGACATGTTTATGTTGCTGATTGGTAGTTATGAAACAAAAGAATTCGGGTTGAGTAGCTTAATAAGAAGAAAGATTGGGGTATTGAACTAAGTTCAAATAAATAACTCAAACTCATAAAACGAACATTCCTAAGAGCATATGCTTCCCTCTAAAGTCAACAAAAATAGACACATTTTAATAAATCTCACCAGTAACTAAATCTCTTTACTGTCTTTCTACAGAAAGAAGCAATTCCGGTATCTGCTAGAAACCAAAGGGAAAAAACCAGGTCTTGTCAATGAAGAAAATAATGACAGCAAAAGACTTGTAGGAGAAAACACAAACCGTGCTACGCTAAATTATACCACAAGAGACTTTTATAACGAACGGCTAGAGGTAAAACTACCGTCAGTCTTTGGAATCTGGTGCCTGGATATGTCCCACATGGCTTGGGACTTGGCAGTTGTACATTTCTCCCTTCAATCAGTTAAGATAACATTTTTTGTTTGTCCTGGAAAGCTATATATGGCTGGAGACAGTAGGCACCAAGGTGTTTGGAGGAAGTAGAGCCCATAGTTCCAGTATCTTTATTTCAGCAGAAAAAAAATGTTCAGAAGAATCTGTATCAAAAACCTAGACCAAAGTGGACCAAAGGTTCTGATCTCTCGGAATTAAGAGAAGGGATAGATAGGCTCGCTGTGAGTACTTAACTAGCCCGTGTCAGATTGGCAGAGGGCACGGCAGAACCTCCATTCCTGTTCTCTTTGCTTGCGTCCTTGGTGTTTTAATTCTCTTCTTTCATTCTCCTGCACCATTAACTCCTGTGTCCTTAGTCGTGTAATATAATTTTAACCTATCTTGTTCCCACTGTAGCTACTTAGCCAGAAAAACTGGAACTAATTCTTTACTTCTTTGTGTTCGGAGGTTTATTGGAGGAATACCATGTCAGGGTGTTGCAGGAGCTACAAAGAAGACAAGTATTCAGTGCCTGTCTTGATGGAACTCCTAAGAGAGCTGAAGGAACAAATCCTTTAAGTAACAACAGAATGTGAAGATGCTGCAGGAGATTTTGAGGGGACTAAAGGGCACGAGAGCAAGACCGAGAGCAGGAAGCACTGATCGAACATCTTTATGTGCAAGGCACATTTTATATATACATTTTATATATACATGGAAGTGAAATGGCCTGGCAAGTGGTTTTCAGATGTTTTTTAAGAGCTATGAGACGTTTTATTCAAACCATATTGTAGCTGAAAACCCAGTATGTCAAAACAAAGCAAGAACAGCAGACCAGCTGTTGTTGTCGTGGGAAAGGACACTTCAGAGCTTCAATTGACTGGATCTTCTATTCTTTTCCTTTCCTTTCCCCTCATCTCAGTCCCCTCATGCCCAATCCTGAAGCATCTCTTTGGAACCCATAGGGCTCTAAGGGTTACAGCTTGAAAATACCTTGAAAACTCAATGTAACGATATTTTTATAGCATCCTAAAAGATGTTCGGATTCTGCTTTAAACTCTCCTGACACAAAAAAGATTACTGCTTCATGAGGTGGCTCTTTATCTCTGAGCGACTCCATTGGTGAAGAAATTCTTACCCATGTGAAGCTGAAAGCTGCCACCTAATAACTTTTACTCCATGATCCTAGTACCACCTTATGTAGAAAAGAGATTAAGTCTCTTTCTCATGAAAACTCTTCAGATACTTGAATACCTTGAAGTCCTCCCTCCCTACAGTCATGCTTTCACTCACTCAAAAATCATGTCACACACTACTTGGGCCGTAGAAGTCACTGTCCTTATCCTCATGGATGTCACATTCTTGC